TTAGTGAAATCGCTTTGTTTCAGTCTTTCATTCATTTTCTTACATCAGTGTGTATTCTGTTTCTCACACCGCATACAGTGGGTTCAGGGTTGCAGCTGTTATCTGTTCTTATCTCTTATTAGTGTGAAAACACGCCCACCTTTTACTTTAGCTACAGACTCTTCAGTCCTCCATCTCCATCTCGCCGCATCTCTTGTACTGCTGCCTGGCTGCCCGATTTGACGCATATCCACTAATGAAAGCAGACAAATTGAAAATGCATTTCTTATGCACACAAACGTTTATCGTTTGCATTTACGCTGTTGTTGTCAACGGAGCTATCGAAACCATTTCAGGAAAAGGTAGGCATTTTTAAACGCTTTTACAATTAGGCCTAAAACAATAAAAACAGGCCAACTGTTGTCTATATAATTAATCCAAACGACAGGTCACTGCACGGGAAAAAAGTCATTCATTCACGTATATTATTTTTCACTAAAACGCCTGGTGTTTTACAAAACTATTTTTGTCAACGAATTACCATTTGTGTAGTTGTTACAGGCCTAAGTGTTTTAAATTGCATTCATTTATGTAAGTCATTTTAATATAATTGACTAGCCTACACAACTGCTTAAATTAAAATAAACCAATTTGATCAAACAAATAATCTTACCTTTTGTATATTGTCTGTTATTCTGTAACACAGTGTTGCAGTGGTTTGTGGGGTGTTATAACCACAGTTTTGCTGGACCTGCCAGAGGTCTTTCTAAAGGCCCGGATTGTCGAGGCCTCCACCCCATCACCTGCTTACAGGGCTGTCTGGATGGCGGGTAAGAGAGGGAATCAAGTTCCTGTACTTTTATATCACCACAGAAAAGAAAACAGATTTTTATTTTATTTGGATTCACAAACTGTATAATGTTTGATAGAAACATAGAAAAATTAAAAGACGGTTTGACTTTCAGTCACAGTAGCCTCTTGTGTTGCCACTTGACATGCATCCTTAATGTGGATACATAGAAACAGCCCCTTTCTACCAATGCTGTGTAAGATGTTTTTGAGTTACATTTTCAGTAAGCAGGCATGTTGTCCTGTATGAAGGGAAGACAAAGACTCTGTAAGGCAACATGTCTACACATTCCTAAACCACAGACAGACTTTCTTCAGGTAGAGAGAGAGAGAGACAGACAGAGAGAGAGAGAGAGAGAAAGAGGGGGAGGGAGAGAGAGGGAGAGAAAGAGAGCGAGAGAGAGAGAGAGAAGGGGGTAGAGAGATTTAAAAGTAATCAGACAACTAAACCTGTAATAAAAATTACAGTTGAAGTCGGAAGTTTACATACACTTAGGTTGGAGTCATTAAAACTTGTTTTTCAACCACTCCACACATTTCTTGTTAACAAACTATAGTTTTGGCAAGTCAGTTAGTACATCTACTTTGTGCATGACACAAGTAATTTTTCCAACAATTGTTTACAGACAGATTATTTCACTTATAATTCACTGTATCACAATTCCAGTGGGTCAGAAGTTTACATACACTAAGTTGACTGCGATTAATCAGCTTGGAAAATTCCAGAAAATAATGTCATGGCTTTAGAAGCTTCTGATAGGCTAATTGACATCATTTGAGTCAATTGGAGGTGTACCTGTGGATGTATTTCAAGGCCTACCTTCAAACTCAGTGCCTCTTTGCTTGACATCATGGGAAAATCAAAAGAAATCAGCCAAGACCTCAGGAAAAAATTGTAGACCTCCACAAGTCTGGTTCATCCTTGGGAGCAATTTCCAAACGCCTGAAGGTACCATGTTCATCTGTACAAACAATAGTACGCAAGTATAACCACCATGGGACCACGCAGCCGTCATACCACTCAGGAAGAAGACGCGTTCTGTCTCCTAGAGATGAACGTACTTTGGTGCGAAAAGTGCAAATCAATCCCAGAACAACAGCAAAGGACCTTGTGAAGATGCTGGAGGAAACAGGTACAAAAGTATCTATATCCACAGTAAAACAAGTCCTACAGTGAGGGAAAAAAAGTATTTGATCCCCTGCTGATTTTGTACGTTTGCCCACTGAAAAAGAAATGATCAGTCTATAATTTTAATGGTAGGTTTATTTGAACAGTGAGAGATAGAATAACAACAAAAAAATCCAGAAAAAAGCATGTCAAAAATGTTATAAATTGATTTGCATTTTAATGAGGGAAATAAGTATTTGACCCCCTCTCAATCAGAAAGATTTCTGGCTCCCAGGTGTCTTTTATACAGGTAACGAGCTGAGATTAGGAGCACACTCTTAAAGGGAGTGCTCCTAATCTCAGTTTGTTACCTGTATAAAAGACACCTGTCCACAGAAGCAATCAATCAATCAGATTCCAAACTCTCCACCATGGCCAAGACCAAAGAGCTCTCCAAGGATGTCAGGGACAAGATTGTAGACCTACACAAGGCTAGAATGGGCTACAAGACCATCGCCAAGCAGCTTGGTGAGAAGGTGACAACAGTTGGTGCGATTATTCGCAAATGGAAGAAACACAAAATAACTGTCAATCTCCCTCGGCCTGGGGCTCAATGCAAGATCTCACCTCGTGGAGTTGCAATGATCATGAGAACGGTGAGTAATCAGCCCAGAACTACACAGGAGGATCTTGTCAATGATCTCAAGGCAGCTGGGACCATAGTCACCAAGAAAACAATTGGTAACACACTACGCCGTGAAGGACTGAAATCCTGCAGCGCCCGCAAGGTCCCCCTGCTCAAGAAAGCACATATACAGGCCCGTCTGAAGTTTGCCATTGAACATCTGAATGATTCAGAGGAGAACTGGGTGAAAGTGTTGTGGTCAGATGAGACCAAAATCGAGCTCTTTGGCATCAACTCAACTCGCCGTGTTTGGAGGAGGAGGAATGCTGCCTATGACCCCAAGAACACCATCCCCACCATCAAACATGGAGGTGGAAACATTATGCTTTGGGGGTGTTTTTCTGCTAAGGGGACAGGACAACTTCACCGCATCAAAGGGACGATGGACGGGGCCATGTACCGTCAAATCTTGGGTGAGAACCTCCTTCCCTCAGCCAGGGCATTGAAAATGGGTCGTGGATGGGTATTCTAGCATGACAATGACCCAAAACACACGGCCAAGGCAACAAAGGTGTGGCTCAAGAAGAAGCACATTAAGGTCCTGGAGTGGCCTAGCCAGTCTCTAGACCTTAATCCCATAGAAAATCTGTGGAGGGAGCTGAAGGTTCGAGTTGCCTAACGTCAGCCTCGAAACCTTAATGACTTGGAGAAGATCTGCAAAGAGGAGTGGAACAAAATCCCTCCTGAGATGTGTGCAAACCTGGTGGCCAACTACAAGAAACGTCTGACCTCTGTGATTGCCAACAAGGGTTTTGCCACCAAGTACTAAGTCATGTTTTGCAGAGGGGTTGATAGATTAATTTGTATTTTAAGAATAATGACTAAAGGATTTCACCCCAAATACAGTATAAATGTGTAAACGGTGTTAGAGTTATAATGTAGTGTCAACCCACTAACAGAGGGGGGCGGGACTAAACATTCCAGGGTGAAGGAGACTGAGGAAACTGTTTAAAAAAGCCTCCTAAAGGTGGGCGGAGCAAAGTGCCTTTGTGTGTCAAGGGGTATAAAGCTGTATGTATGTTTTTTGGCAGCAGAGCTCTCCATGATTAAAAATAGATAATTCTTGCTGGTTGTGGACCTTGAATCATTTATGATTATAACCAGAGCCTTACAACCCCTGGTAATGGTTCAAGCTTAGGTTGAATTAGAGATAGAAATTCTCATGACAGGGGTCAAATACTTATTTCCCTCATTAAAATGCAAATCAATTTAAAAAAAAATTGACATGCGTTTTTCTGGATTTTTGTTGTTGTTATTCTGTCTCTCACTGTTCAAATAAACCTGCCATTAAAATTATAGACTGATCATGTCTTTGTCAGTGGGCAAACGTACAAAATCAGCAGGGGATCAAATACTTTTTTCCCTCACTGTATATCAACATAACCTGAAAGGCCGCTCAGCAAGGAAGAAGCCACTGCTCCAAAACTGCCATAAAAAGCCAGACTACGGTTTGCAACTGCACATGGGGACAAAGATCGTACTTTTTGGAGAAATGTCCTCTGGTCTGATGAAACAAAAATAGAACTGTTTGGCCATAATGACCATTGTTATGTTTGGAGGTAAAAGGGAGTTGCTTGCAAGCCGAAGAACACCATCCCAACCGTGAAGCACGGGGGTGGCAACATCATGCTGTGGGGGTGCTTTGCTGCAGAAGGGACTGGTGCACTTCACAAAATAGATGGCATCAAGAGGAAGGACAATGATGTGGATATATTGAAGCAACATCTCAAGACATCAGTCAGGAAGTTAAAGCTTGGTCGCAAATGGGTCTTCCAAATGGACAATGACCTCAAGCATACTTCCAAAGTTGTGGCAAAATGGCTTAAGGACAACAAAGTCAAGGTATTGGAGTGGCCATCACAAAGCCCTGACCTCAATCCTATAGAAAATTTGTGGGCAGAACTGAAAAAGCGTGTGCGAGCAAGGAGGCCTACAAACCTGACTCAGTTACACCAGCTCTGTCAGGAGGAATGGGCCAAAATTCACCCAACTTATTGTGGGAAGCTTGTGGAAGGCTTCCCGAAATGTTTGACCCAAGTTAAACAATTTAAAGGCAATGCTACCAAATACTAATTGAGTGTATGTAAACTTCTGACCCACCGGGGATGTGATGAAAGAAAGAAAAGCTTAAATAAATCATTCTCTCTACTATTATTCTGACATTTCACATACTTAAAATAAAGTGGTGATCCTAACTGACCTAAGACAGTTAATTTTTACTAGGATTAATTGTCAGGAATTGTGAAAAACGGAGTTTAAATGTATTTGGCTAAGGTGTATGTAAACTTCTGACTTCAACTGTATTAGATTTTTCCTGTATGTTGCAGGTATGATGTGGCAGCGTTGTCAGGGGAGACGTGTTACTGTGGTCATTATGGGATGGAGGGGCTGGTGTCCAGACAGTGTCCAGACAGCTCTACTAAAGGGGAGTCAGACACAGACACACAAAACAACACTACAGGGTGGTGAGATATATATATTTTATGCAGTTTTTATTGCGAGAGCCCTAGTGAGTAAGATTTATATTACATGATGTAAATTAAACTTGAAACCTGAATATACACAGTAGAAGTTTAGATTAATTGTCTCCTATTTTTACATATAAAACTATTGACTTGACCGATGGGTACTGTATGTTAATTCAAACATCTCTCATACCTGCTGTATGTATACTGTATCTGTCTGCAGGTGTTGTGACTCTGTCTGTCTGCCATGTGGAGATGGGAAGGACATCTTGGCTGTGTACAGAACACTGGGGCCTTACATCCGGAATGTCAGCCTGGCCGTGCTGACTGACACAGTGCATGCTGGGATGCCTTTCCTCCTGGAGGTTTATGGGTACCTGGCGGCTCCTCCCACTCAGCCAACAGGTTAGTTAAACTTTTATCCATCCGCTATTTACCTGGTTTTATAGAAGTTACAGTGTAAAATCGTAATTACCTATGAATAACCTCATAATTGACTGATTAGTTGATGTGTTGTTTGTTGGTTGTGATTGGACTGTTGTGTGGTTGTCAGGGATACAAGGCCTGGGAGGAGAGAACCTATCGTCTGTGGACGTTCAATTCAGTGGGAGGAGCCACAAAGGTCAAAGTTCACACAGCGTCATCGTCCAGGACGATGGCTTCTTCACCTTCTCCTCTGATTGGATGCTGGAAAACCCTGGAACATACCAAATTAGTATGTCAAAAACAAATAATGTTTTATTTTTTATTAATGGGAATAAGAAATGTTATATCTCACATTCTCCCCTCTCCCTGTATCTCTCTCCTTCTCCCTGTCTCTCTCTCTCTCCCTCTCACTCTAGAGATCTCAGTCTCCAACCTCCTCTCCCAGCTCTTCTCCTCCCTCCATCTCTCCGTCTTGCGTCCCTCTCCAGAGGGGTTGGAGGTCAGCCTGGTCCAGGGGCGAGGGGGTACCCCCTCCTGCCTGCCCTACCCAGCCCAAGACACCCTATCCCAGGCTCTGGAGAAGGCCTACCTGGGTGATACCCTCACCCTCCAGGCATATGTAGGAGCTGGAATCAGGGTGCAGTTCCACTGGAGATTCAGTGAGGATGAAAAGGAAGAGGAGGATGAGGAAGAGGAAGGGAAGAGGAGGGATGTAAAGATAGACTGCCTTCCTGATTCTGACTGTCTGAGCAGCACTGTGGTGAGAGCTTTAGACCACATCTGACTTGGGCTTTTCTAGGGGTCAAATCAAAACTTTTCATTCACTGTTATGATATCATGACAGTTGGACACTATTCCATATTTTCAGAACCAACTGTTTAAAACTGAGGGGATTCACACTGTCAAGGTCAATGCTTCCAATATCTATGGCTGGACCGAGCAAACCATCCATATTGTGAGTACTCTGCCACTATGTTACTTTCAGTCAAGCACTACATTATAAACAGTCTGTTAACATTTTACAGGTGGATTGAGTAACACATTCTGTTTGATAGCTCTACCTGATTTCTTCATACTCCACTTGTAATAGGGGTGCTCTTTCTCTGTGTACAGGCGGTGGTGAGGCGTGTTGTGCGTGATTTGACCCTGGAAAGTCGGTCTGGGTACCATCTGGCTGCTGGTCAGAACATCTCTGTGGACCTGCAGCTCTACACCACACAGAGACAGAGCCTACTGCTCAACCTCACACTGACCTACCAGAGAAAACACAGCGTCAACCAAGACCATGTCCACAACCTCAACCAAACCTTCAGTCATGACGATGCTGACCATGAAAACAATCAAAACCATGACCAAACAGAAGATCACAACATCAATCAAAACCAAACCTACAATCATGAACTTGACCACTTCTACAACTTCACCCTAGCGCTTGAACTCAACCACAACCAAAGCCATGGTCATGGCAATGACGATCACACCCTGTCCCTCCAATTCACCCACACCCTCTCCCTGTCCTCCTACACCCAGCCCTCCAGTCCCCTGCACCTCCTCTCCTCCTACGGTCAGACCAGCTGCCACCTCCAGTTCCGCCTGCACTACCCCCTCCCTTCCACCGTGGGACAGTATACCCTCTCAGCCACAGTCTTCTCCCTCTCTGACCCTGCTGTGCCGCTACTCTCCGCCTGTCTCCCTTTCCCCCTGGTGATGTTCGACCGCATACGCACCCTCTGGCCGGCTGGACCGTGGAGCGCTGTGGTTCAGTCACAGTCAGAACTCAACCTCACGGTCACCAGCCGGGCTGACCACATGGGTTCTAAGATGCTTTGGACAGTTGCTAGAGGCAACACCACTGTGTTCAACAGGATCACGGAGGCCTGGACCATGACCATGACTTTCCCGATCGCAGGGAGCTATCTGGTCATGGTCAAAGCCTTCAACCCAATCAGCTGGGCTGGCTTCCACACACACTTCCTGGTCCAAGATCCAGTCGGAGATTTTTTGTTGAACATTCCGAGCGTGGTCACGGTCGATTGTCCAACTGCAGCGTTGTTCACCATCACAACAGGGTCGAACATGTCTGTGGTGGTGTTTGCAAACACATCTGTGCTGTACCAGAACCACAGCTACACAGCAGGGGAGGAGGTGACCGTGGGTTTGTTGTTTGACCGTACTGGGACCGCTGAGGTTGAGGTCAGAGCTGAGAACCTGGTCTCCTCTGAGAACAGGACTGTGAACGTGTGTGTTCAGTTGGTCAGAAAGTGGTCACACACCGTCACCATGGATATAACTCTACCACCGGTCACTGGGCCGAGCCTAGCCCTCAGCACCAAGGTCAATGGTAAGGAATAATGTCATCCTCAAGTACTTTTCTCTGATTCACCCTAACATGTCTATGTTTGTGTGAATGTTTTAAGCGTTTCAACAGTTTTAAGATGGCATACTGTGTGCCTGAACAGAAGGACACTGCCAACCGCCAAGACTGGGGCAGAGTAACACTAGAATGTTAATTACCTGGCTTTCCTCTTCCAGTGATTCCTGCATTCTTGATTGGCTGTCCAACTAAACCTGTATTTCAACATCAGAATTGTATTAGGCTTTAGTGGAATTCCCCTCAAGCACAGTCTGATAATCTGATCCTCACTCCTCCTCACTACCTGGAGAAACTAGAAGGGACAGAAGTGAGGGTTTTTTACTACCCTGTCCTCTCTAACATGGCCATCTAGTAACTACCCTGTCCTCTCTAACATGGCCATCTAGTAACTACCCTGTCCTCTCTAACATGGCCATCTAGTAACTCCCCTGTCCTCTCTAACATGGCCATCTAGTAACTACCCTGTCCTCTCTACATGGCCATCTAGTAACTACCCTGTCCTCTCTAACATGGCCATCTAGTAACTACCCTGTCCTCTCTAACATGGCCATCTAGTAACTACCCTGTCCTCTCTAACATGGCCATCTAGTAACTACCCTGTCCTCTCTAACATGGCCATCTAGTAACTACCCTGTCCTCTCTAACATGGCCATCTATTAACTACCCTGTCCTCTCTAGCATGGCCATCTAGTAACTACCCTGTCCTCTCTAACATGGCCATCTAGTAACTACCCTGTCCTCTCTAACATGGCCATCTAGTAACTACCCTGTCCTCTCTAACATGGCCATCTAGTAACTACCCTGTCCTCTCTAACATGGCCATCTAGTAACTACCCTGTCCTCTCTAACATGGCCATCTAGTAACTACCCTGTCTCTCAACATGGCCATCGAGTACTATACCCTGTCCTCTCTAACATGGCCATCTAGTAACCTACCCTCTAGCTAACTTTTACTTCCTCTAAATCAGCAGCTTTGACATTAGCACCCAAGGTAACCACGGAGGAGCCAATTGGTGACGTCCTCTTGGTGTTGGCCACACCTGCCGTTGATCCAATTAGCTGACTTCATCAAAGCAACAGCGATAGTGGTCAGAGGCGGGGCCTTGGTGTTTGAGTGGCAGGTGTCTCTCCCAGAACTCACCACTCACAGTCACACAGACAGGTAAGTCCATCCCCTGAAGATTCAGTATTCACTGTCACAGAAAGTCATTTTTTTTAACCTTCTTTTCTCCCTACTCTTTCTTCTTTGGTTTTATGTTTTCCCTTTTCTGTCTGTCTTCCTGTCTCTCTCGCTCCACCCCTCTCCCTCAATCTATTCATCCCTCTCTCCATCTCGCCCTCTGTCCCAGGAACACCAGTGTGAGCACCCTTAATCTCCAGGCAGTTGTTCCAGGAATGTATAACATTACCGTGACAACCTACCGTCCCCAGGGCGACACCTCAGTCAGCCGACACCTAGAGGTCAGGGTTCACGGCCCCGTGGGTCACGTTCAAGTCCAGTACCCATTTGGGTCGGATCGGGCAGCGCTCCACCTGCAGGCTGTTGGGACCTACGCCACGCCCTTCCTCCTGTTCAGAGGACACTCCTTCTCCCACAGCGTCCATTTTGTTTTTGACTTCGGAGACGGGTCGCCAACTTCATATGTGAACGGTGTCTCTCATTCGCTGGGAAAGACTGCATCCACCTATCACCAGTTCACTATAGGTAAACAATACCTTACATTCTCCTGAAATTCTGCATGAAGACATTTTGGACATACTGTAATAGTTGATATTTGTCAAACTGTTGAATCTTTATTGCATCCCCAGAGGGAGTGTTCCAGATCAGGGTGTGGGCCTACAATGAGTTCTACAGAAGTACGGCTGTGGAACATGTGTTCTATGTAGAGAAGGTTCCAGCGGGTCTAGAACTCTCTGCTAACTCTAGTGTGGTCTATAAGAACCAGGTGGTTCTCTTTGAGGCTCCGTTAGAACAGGGGACTAACGTCTCCTACACCTGGAGTATGGGAGACCAGACCACCTACGTCAATGCAGGTATAAACCAGGACTGGATCTGATAACAGGTTCTCATACTTACTGACTAGACAAAATGGATTATGGAATATACTAAATACCATCACAATTCATCAATTTCCAAATTTGTTTCAAATCAGTTTTGAATATATAGCATTTTGTGTGAATCTAATTCTGTGTGCTTTATCTGTGTGTGTGTGTGTGTCTCCAGGTGCTGTAGTGTCCCATGTGTTCCTGTCTGAGGGTTTGTTTGGGGTGTGTGTGTTGGCTGAGAACAAAGTGGGGAGTGTAAGCCGCTGTGTCTCCATCTCTGTGCTGCACCGGATGCGATGTATGTATGACATATGACGCCCTATCTATGTCAGAAACAGGTACTGTAAGTTCTGAAATCATGTAATATTTATTTCCTGTACGTTGTTTGTCTTTCCCAGCTGTGAGTATCCACACAGAGAAGCAGGCGTATGCCACAAACATTGATATAACATTCCGGGCCCAGACAGAAGAACCGGACCCTCTGGAATTCCTCTGGCACTTTGGAGATTCCCGGCCACTCTGGACCACGTCACGCTCCTTCAACAAGACATACCACACACCTGACAGGTTCTCACTCATCTCTTTGATGAACACAATTAATCAATGATTAGTCATAATCAGTAGGCATATCCATGGTCACACACATTTGATATTTCCAGAATACTCCCTTAGAATTGTCAGATTTACTAATCTTGTCTACTCCTCCGTCCTGTCCTCCCAGGTACAGTGTGGTGGTGGTAGCCTCCAACGGGCTGAGCTCCTTCACCTCTGCGGTCCATCCTGTCCTGGTCCAGAGAGCTGTGTGTCCTAACAGATTGCTCCTCCAGCCCTCTGTGGTTCTGAACCACACCGCCAGCTTCACCTGTAGGGTCAACTCTGGAACCAACCTCTCCTACTCCTGGAGCTTTGGAGATGGAACCTCCAGGACGGGAGGGAACACAGAACAGCATGTGTTCCACAGGTCAGACGCAACCTTCTAAAAACTTTTATTAAAGGTGCAATCTGTAACTGTCCTATCCAATCGAAGGTGTTGCCCCTGCACTTGATTGTGAACTGATTGCAGTCTTGGTGAATGTGACAGATGGTGACATAACATGGCATAGTGTGTGATTGTTCCCCATGCAGGACAGGAGAGTTCACGGTTGAGGTGACCGTGTCTAACCTGGTCAGCTCTGCCTCCCTGACCGCACAGATGTTTGTGGTCGACCGCCCCTGTAAGCCTCCAGCTGTTAAAAACATGGGACCGCTCAAGATACAGGTAAGAGTGTTACTGAGAGACTGCAGGTTTGGACCTGTTGGCATAATGGTTTGGACTGACAGACACAGGGCGATGTCCAAACTGCCCCCAAATTCACTCTCCTCTCCTCTCCTCTCCAGGTACGGCGGTATGAGCCAGTGGGTCTGGGGGTGACATATGAGGCAGAGGTCCAGTGTGATGTGTCCCAGGGTCTGGAGTACAGCTGGTCTCTGTATACCTCTACAGGCCTGCCTGTACCTCTACCTCCTGTTCACACAGACAGACAGAGCATCACCCTACCCAGCCACTTCCTACACTATGGTATCTACACCGCTATAGCCAGGGTGAGTGAAATCAAAACAGAATACACGCATTCTGTAATACTATATGTTGTCAATATGTAGGTTGCTATCCCTTTTCATTGAAAACCTGGTAAAATAGTATCGTTTTTATAATGAAGTTATCATAACGTTGTCCTGTGGTTGTGTGTAGGTCCAGATCGTGGGCAGTGTGGTGTACAGTAACTACAGTGTGTGTGTGGAGGTGGTGCCTAGTCCTCTGGTCTCCTTCATCCATGGAGGCACCAACATGTTCCTCAGCAGCCGAAACAGCAGCATTATCTCCCTCAACGGACAACTCTCCTACGACCCCGACTACCCCATGAACCACCTCAGGTAGCTACACAGTAACACTGGCTGTCAGTCTGTCAGTAGAATTAGATGTGTTAGAGCAGGGCTGGAGCAAAAGCCTGCACACACACCAGTTCTACAGGAGAAAAGTTGGCCAGCCCTACTGCTGTAAGAGGTTGTTTTGGGATTGGCCATTTAATGGCATTTACCCTTTCTACTGTTACTAAATCCCTCCCCCTTACAGTTATAGCTGGACCTGTAAGCCAATCAGTGCCATCGACAGCTCCTGTTTCGACGAATATGTGCCCACCTCCTTCTCTGTGATCGTGTTTCCAGTGGGGTTCCTGAAACAGGACTTTGACCAGTTCAGGTTCACGCTCACGGTCCAGAGTGGAGAACGCTCATCTACGGCTGACACCTTCATCACGGTCACACCCAGCCTGGTCAGGTGGGAAACACTTTGATGTTAATTTACTTTTTGTACACTCCCCTCCATGTGTATTTGGACAGTGAAGCTAGCATTTTAGATTTGAGATATAATGTTTTATATGAGGCGGCAGTACAGAATGTCAGCTTTTATTTGAGGGTGTTATCATACATATCTGTTTTACCGTTTCGAAATTAAAGCACTTTATGTACAGTATCTCTTCAATTTATTGATTTGACTGATACACACTGCTAATCCATCTGATCTCAGTATATATATACACCTGTTCTGAAAGGCCCCAGAGTCTGCAACATCACTAAGCAAGGGGCACCTCCAAACAAGCAGCACCATGAAGACCAAGGAGCTCTCCAAACAGGTTAGGGACAAAGTTGTGGAGAAGTACAGATCAGGGTTGGGTTATAAAAAAATATCCGAAACTAAAAAATTTAAAGAATATGGCACCACAACAAACCTGCCAAGAGAGGACCGCTCACCAAAACTCACGAACCAGGCAAGGAGGGCATTAATCAGAGAGGCAACAAAGAGACCAAAGATAACCCTGAAGGAGCTGCAAAGCTCCACAGCTGAGATTGGAGTATCTGTCCATAGGACCACTTTAAGCCGTACACTCCACAGAGCTGGGCTTTACGGAAAAGGGGCCAGAAAAAAGCCATTGCTTGAATAAAAAAATAAGCAAACACATTTGGTCTTCGTCAAAAGGCATGTGGGAGACTCCCCAAACATATGGAAGAAGGTCCTCTGGTCAGATGAGACTAAAATTAAGCTTTTTGGCCATCAAGGAAAACGCTATGTCTGGCGCAAACCCAACACCTCTCATCACCCGAGAACATGGTGGTGACTGCAGCATGCTGTGGGGATGTTTTTCATCGGCAGGGACTGGGAAACTGGTCAGAATTGAAGAAATTATGGATGGCGCTAAATACAGGGAAATTCTTGAGGGAAACCTGTCAGTCTTCCAGAGATTTGAGACTGGGACGGAGGTTCACCTTCCAGCAGGACAATGACCCTAAGCATACTGCTAAAGCAACACTTGAGTGGTTTAAGGGGAAACATTTAAATGTCTTGGAATGGCCTAGTCAAAGCCCAGACCTCAATCCAATTGAGAATCTGTGGTATGACTTAAAGATTGCTGTACACCAGCGGAACCCATCCAACTTGAAGGAGCTAGAGCAGTTTTGCCTTGAAGAATGGGCAAAAATCCCAGTGGCTAGATGTGCCAAGCTTATAGAGACATACCTCAAGAGACTTGCAGCTGTAATTGCTGCAAAAGGTGGCTCTACAAAGTATTGACTTTGGGGGGGGGGGTGAATAGGTATGCACGCTCAAGTTTTGTTTGTTTCACAAGAAAATATATGTTGCATCTTCAAAGTGGTAGGTATGTTGTGTAAATGAAATGATACAAACCCCCAAAACATCCATTTTAATTCCAGGTTGTAAGGCAACAAAATAGGAAAAATTACTTTCGCAAGCCACTGTACATATCTGGTAGTAATATTTGCGGTTTCTCCCTCACCCTGAATAATTCTACGTTTTATTTCTTTAGTAAATGCACAGAAGTTGTGAATTATTTGGGAGTATTTATCATAGTGGAGGAAAAAGTGCATCTCTGTTTCAACCTCCCCTGTCATGCAGTGACCACATAGACACTCCTCTTTGGGTAGCCATGTCTTTTTGTGTCTCCCTTTTTCTATAGCCAATTGGTGGTGGCTGAGCCTATATTTGGTCAGGATCTGTGGTGATGTGATTTGAAGGAGTCAGGCGCAGGAGAGTAAATCACAGAATAACAGGTTTATTCCATTGACACAGCAGTACGCAGCAATGCGTCAAACACTCCAGTGCGGAAATATACAGTGCACTGGAAACAACAAGGCACACGGGTGAATATCCAGGCGATACAAAATACAAGAGCTCCACCGAGCTAAACTAACCTCCACAATAAACAATCACACACAAAGACAATAGGGCAGAGGGAACACTGATACAGTGTCACACCCTGGCTCTGGGACTCTATATGTTGAGCCAGGGTGTGGATATTCTATAGGTTGTATTTCTGTGTTGGCCAGAGTGGTTCCCAATCAGAGGCAACGAGTGTCAGCTGTGGCTGGTTGTCTCTGATTGGGAGCCATATTTATAGAGGCTATTTGCCCACAAATGTTGTGGGATCTTGTTTCTAGTCTGTTTGTGTTAGACCGTGAACTGTCACGTTATCGTTTTGTTGTTTTTGATCGTGTCTCTAAATAAAGAGTATATTTGCCTGCAACGCTGCGCCTTGGTCCTCCTCTGTATACGACGATCGTGACAGAAGATCCCACCAAACCAGGACCAAGCAGCGTGTCCAGGAACACACGCAGGAGGTAACGCTGGTGGATGTCCTCCTCGGCTGGGGGCAGATTACGAAGGAGGAGGCCGTCCGGTACCGGAAGGCGATGAAGGGGGAGACCCAGGCAGGAGTGGAGAAGCGGCGTCAACCGGGCCGTGGTCGGACAGGCGAGAGGCACCCCCAATATTTTTTTAGGGGGGGGCACACAGCATGGGCGACTGGGCAGCAGGAGGCTGCCACAGGGCGAATTGGGAGATTAGAAAAGAAGAAAAGCCACCGGGTTTTGGGGGCCAGAAGGCAGGTTGGCGGAGCCTGGATGGAGAGCAGAGCCAACTCCCCGTACTCAGGCATGGCAGCATGAGACTGGGCAGGTTCCGCGGTATGCGGAGCTGCGCACTGTGCCACGAGTGGTCCGGCATAGTCCGGTACGTCCTGTGCGAGCACCCCGCACGTGTTGTGCGAAGGTGGGCATGCAGCCAGGACGGAGTGTGCCGGCTCAGCGCTCGTGGCCTCCAGTGCCTCTCCTCGGTCCCGGATATCCTGCGCCGGTGTCACGTGCTGTTATGCCAGTACGGGTACACAGCCCTGTACGTCCTGTGCTGATGCCTCACACAGAGTGTGTGAAGGTAGGCATTCAGCCAGGACGGGTTGTGGCAGCTCTTCACTCCAGGTCTCCTATCCGTCTCCACAGCCCGGTCCGGCCTGTCCCTGCTCCACGCACCAAGCCTACGGTGTGCGTCGCCAGCCCGGTCCGGCCTGTCCCTGCTCCACGCACCAAGCCTACGGTGTGCGTCGCCAGCCCGGTCCGGCCTGTCCCTGCTCCACGCACCAAGCCTACGGTGTGCGTCGCCAGCCCGGTCCGGCCTGTCCCTGCTCCACGCACCAAGCCTACGGTGTGCGTCGCCAGCCCGGTCCGGCCTGTCCCTGCTCCTCGCACCAAGCCAGGGGTGCGCATCGTCAGCCCGGTCCGGCCTGTCCCTGCTCCACGCACCAAGCCTACGGTGTGCGTCGCCAGCCCGGTCCGGCCTGTCCCTGCTCCTCGCACCAAGCCAGGGGTGCGCATCGTCAGCCCGGTCCGGCCCGTTCCTACTCCACGCACCAAGCCAGGGGTGCGCATCGTCAGCCCGGTCCGGCCCGTTCCTACTCCACGCACCAAGCCAGGGGTGCGCATCGTCAGCCCGGTCCGGCCCGTTCCTACTCCACGCACCAAGCCAGGGGTGCGAGTCGTCAGCCCGGTCCGGCCCGTTCCGGCTCCACGCACCAAGCCAGGGGTGCGCGTCGTCAGTCCAGCACAACCCGTGCCTGGGTCACCGGTGCCTGGTAAGGTACCGGTCAGCTGCTCCACACCGGAGCCAAAGCGGTCCGCTTCTACGATGTCTGGTCCAGCTCCAGCCAGCGGGGCCAGACCGGACCAGGGGCGCCACGGGGGGATGGTGGAAGGGTGGTGGTCAAGCCCGGAGCCGGAACCGCCTCCGAGGAGGAATGCCCACCCAGCCCTCCCCTGGTGTGTGTACGTTTAGGCGCGGTCGCAGTCCGCGCCTTTAGGGGGGGGTACTGTCACACCCTAGCTCTGGGACTCTATATGTTGAGCCAGGGTGTGGATATTCTATAGGTTGTATTTCTGTGTTGGCCAGAGTGGTTCCCAATCAGAGGCAACGAGTGTCAGCTGTGGCTGGTTGTCTCTGATTGGGAGCCATATTTATAGAGGCTATTTGCCCACAAATGTTGTGGGATCTTGTTTCTAGTCTGTTTGTGTTAGACCGTGAACTGTCACGTTATCGTTTTGTTGTTTTTGATCGTGTCTCTAAATAAAGAGTATGTTTGCCTGCAACGCTGCGCCTTGGTCCTCCTCTGTATACGACGATCGTGACATACAGGTACTGATGAGGGGAATTGAAACCAGGTGTGTGTAATAAACAAGACAAAACAAATGAGATGAGGAGCAGCAGTGGCTAGAAGACCGGTGACGACGAACGCCGAAGCCTGCCCGAACAAGGAGAGGAGGCAGCTTCGGAGGAAGTCGTGACAGGATCTTTCTCTGTTTTGTATCTCTGACAGAGCAGCGATATTCTGCCAATTGGAATTGTCTTTTGGGGGCCAAATAGCAATTTAATTTATTCAGTGTTTTTGTTTCATTTTCCCAATTTTTCAAATAGGAGGTTTTCATTTCTGTAACAACTTGATTGATTTCCCAGTGTGTTTGGATAATAGGGTTGTTTAGTGCTTTTAGCAGATAACATAGGGGACTCTCTTCAGGGTTCAGCTCTTGGGTTTCCAGGCTGTTTTAGGGCTTAATTTCAAATGGTGCCAAAATGTTAGGGTCCTTTTTTAAAGATTTACAATAAAAGGGAATCTTCAGAGTTCCGCTCAGCATGCATTATTTGGTACTTTCTTTTGGATATTTAGGATAATTCTGCAGAATTCTGTATGTAGATTTTCTATTTGGTTTTCCTCCCAATGCTTATAATCATAATTACAGGTTGGACCCCAAACCATATAGTGCAATTGGTAAAATTACACTATTGAATATTTTTCACCAGATTTGGATAGGAATATTTATTTTTGAGATTTTTATTTTAATGGAGTAAAATGCTTTGCAGGCTTTTTCTTTTAGTGCATTCACTGCCAGACCAAATCCACTGGAGGCACTGATTTTT